GCACTCTTCCAACTTATGGATATTTATTTTTCGGAGGGAGGGGAAGTGAAGGGAAGTGGGAGCGGGTGGCGGCTGTAGTTGTGGCGGTGGAGGAGGGATGAAGGAGCGTTGTCACATTACATGTACCTGTCTGTACGCGTCTTCACTCGTGGCTGTCATCTCACCTGACAGGTCTATCAGTGTCCACGGCTGATCAGGACGCGTCCCTCAGCCTGACAGGATGAACAGACAGCGCAGCAATCCAGACTGACAGCTCCTCAGGTAGCTGCTGGAGGAAGGGAGGTTTAAGATAGGAGGGAGATGGAGGAATCTGGGGGGTGAGGGGCAAGAGAAAAGCTGCAGAGCAAGAGGACTAAATAAAGAGTGTAAATAACCCGCCAGATGATGTCCACAAGAACATCAGCAGTGAAGCCTAACCCTAGATGGCATCAAAGAGGTTCAATCTTCTTTCTTTACCTTTCTTTTTTCGGAATCTGATAATGAAGTGATTGAGGCTTTTAAATAAGAGGCTGCTGCCAAACGCTACCTTTAAAAACCCCATTAAGCCACAAAAATCCTCTCTCTGGGTGCCAGTTTGAGTATTTTTAAGCAAATTGAGTTTCATCTTTTACGACAATCATGCACGTTGAACCGAAGCCAAACAGCTCGCTGGGTAACGAGAGCTGCCTTCCAGAGAAAAAACACCTGCGGGATGTGCTTTGGTTAACCCATGAAAGCTTTAAATCAAATGCTTGTGATCACACCCAAGGGGAAATAAGGCCCCCCTTCTCTCTCCAGCACACCTCCCACTCTGTGCTTCCCACCCTTCTTGGGAAGAAAAAAAAATCAGTCTTTATCTTGTCAAAAGCCATCGAAAACAAGCCCTTCCAAACGCCCCAACAACACGGGAACGAGACAAAACGGGAAAACCTACAAGCTCACGAGCGAAGACTCATTTGATCAGCTTAGCTACGCTCTCCTGGCTCCTCATGCACGAGGAGTAATTAGCAATTAACAATCAGGATTTAACTAGATCCAGTTATTATCTGTAACCAAAAAAAAAGGTGGTGGGAAGGGGGGTATCTGCTGCTTTGACACGGGAGTGCATCAGAATTCCCCTGCTCCTCGAGTTTGATTAAAAAAAAAAAAGAAAAAAAAGGAGAAGGAGAAGAAGAAGAGTGAGGGACCCGAACTGTAATTCTCTCATTTTCACGACATCTCTGGGCCATTTTTTTCCCAAATTCCCAGATCAAACAGGCTGTAACAAAAGGCCTCAAATCCCCCCCCCCTCTGCTCTCCTCCTCCTCCTGCTCTCTCTTTCCAAAATTAGTTAAGCCTCTCAGCTCCATCATCCTCAACATGGCTCGCATCAACAACCCTACGCTGCTTTGCAAATGCTGCATCGCCTCTGAAATCCACCCCGCCTCCCCTCTCCCCATTTCCTTCCAAATATGCTGAGGAGTTGTTTTTTTTTTTTTGGGGGGGGGGGGGGAGAGAAAACTCCCCATATGTAACTCTGAATTTGGACTTATACACAAAACACAAAGTACCCCATAGTCACTACAGTTTTTTCACTGGGCTGACTATGTGTCTTTTCTGGGGGTAAAATGTTAAGCCTAAAGTCTGCTGTTCAGAAAATGAAGGTGAACAACAAAGGCTGAGGCGAGGCTGACAGATTCCAGAAGAGGGGGGTAAACAGTCTCTCCTCTCCTGGTCTCTGACACACTCGGGCCTTTTGGACACTCCTCGCTTCCTTCTGATTACCTCAGCCCCGGCTGTTTACCATCGAGGGGATGATTCAGGGTTTTCAATCACTCTCGCACACTTTCCCTCCTCTTGTCTTATCACACTTTTGTCTGCCTCCGACGTACTTTTTCTGCTCTTCAAAAGTTTCTGGCGGCTCGCCCGACTTCTGAGGTGAAGCTGGGTGAGATACGCCGAGAGCAAAGGCTGGGTTGTTGCCCAAGAAGGTGCTCGCTGCTGAGCTTTAAGTGATCCTGTTTCACACAGTTGTCAGTTCTCCAGGCTGGCAGGTCCTTAACTGCCTCTGAGCTAGCTGCTTATAGGGCTGCCACCAGTCCTGTTAATGTTAATCTAATGCTAATGTTTGCCAGCTCCCTCAAGCTGAGGACACCTGTTTCTGAACAGACAGGCCCCGCCCCCCTGCTTGATGCTCATTAACTTCCTCGCCACCATCAAGGCTGCAGTGCAGTCGGCGATTTATCTCACAAAATAGCATAAAAAATGACCGACCCGTCTTCAGTCATCGCCTTATATCAAAGTTTAGCCCGACAAAGCATGATCACAGCCAGACCACAAAAATAAATAAATAAAATGAAAACCAGCCTCATCAATTTAATCATCCCCCGTCCAAAGATTTCGAGCTAATTATTCCAGCCTTTAATTATTCCATCCGACTGCCATTGAGATCTCTTAAAGACGGCTGGATTAGTGGATTTGGAGCATTAGCTCGGAGGGTTGGCAGACCTCTGCACTGTGAATCAGGGGGCTGAGAAACACATCTTCAAAAGGTATGCCGAGCAGCACCTTTACAGGATCATTAACAGCGGATAAATCCACGTTAAGTTGCTTAAAAGCGTGTAAAGGTGAGCCATGTTTGGGAGCAGACACTTTTGAGGGAGGAGGCTAACTAAATGTGACTTAAGCACTGCGACAGTGACACAGTTTAAGCCACTTTGGAAGGAATTGTTTACTAGTTACTTAAAGGGCTTATGTCAGGTTGGGTCAACGTCAGCGGCTGAGGGGAAACTTCAAGAGTTGGGCGAGTTTACCTTTTGCACGGGCACGGTTGGGAATTGAGGGGAATGATGTAAGCTGCTAACGATTCAGTCACTATTTGTGTTTGAGCTAATGTAAGGCAGCAGGTTATTTGGCAGGGATGGGGTTCAAGCTCAGAGCCAAACCTGCACTGAGATTCAACACTATTGGAAAATCAATCGCTGCCTTTCGAGCCGTGACAGTCAAGTTAAACTAGCCTCCGCTCGTGCTCGTTAAAGATGCTCCCTGTCATGCTACTACCCCCCTCTGAACTCCATCTCAAACCCCCACCCATCAGCTCTCAGCTCTGCAAAACGAGAGCAGCTCCTCCTGCGGCTGAGATGTTCTGAAAGCTGGTCGGGAAAGGTTAGAGCAAGAAACATGGAGCGGGGCAGTGAAAAAGACAAAAAGAATCTTGCTTTTTAATTATTTTATTAAGAGCCTTGATGCTATTAAATGCCCCAGATACATTCACCCTATAGTTCTCAATTAGACTTGACAGTTGCTGCTTTACCAACAATAAATATAGCAAAGGGCTGCGCCTCAGGCCAGGAAGGACCCCTAACTATGACCCTCGTATTTAATGATGAAAACAAGTGAGCGCACACGCTGCCTCACTCAGGCACACACACACTCTCTCATCCTCTCTGTGCTGCGGCTCCATATTACACAAGCACACTGAGGGCCTGTAAAAAACAACAGCATCTGTGGGGGTTTGAAATGCACTGCAGATACCGAGGTGTACCACTGAACACATTTGGAGGGCAGAGAGTCATTTTGAACTAAAATAATGAACAACGCATTATTCAAGGTAGATTTTCTGTGCGCCTATTTGGACGCGAGGGGAAGAATGATGTCTCCGTGCCAGACCTGAAAATATCGATGATATTGTTGCTATGGGAAAGGCAAACACATGTGATGCATGTGCAACTGCATTTGATTAATTGGCTTTGATATGGACAGACACACTAAATCCTCTCCAGATTAGTACTGTGTTGTATATAAATTGTATTTGTGTGAGGCGAAAATAATGGTGAACTATTATTAAAGATAATATTGTTTTAGTTGATAATATTAATGTGCATACTCATTTGATTTGTACAGTGTTTCTTTTTATGGCATAGTTAAAATATGTAACAAATTTGCTCAGATGAACTTTTTCATCTAAAAAAAAAGCCTGATCAATGTTATTAAATCCAAATGTAGCTACTTTTATATTAACAGTAGACTACTCCATATAAACTCAATCAAATCTAAATGAATTTCCCACGTGACCCCCTCAGAATCAACTTTAGTATATTTAATTAATGAAGCTATGTAAAATTACGCTGGGAAAATCTAGTGACCCTCAAAGGGTGGGTTGAATTTCTGTCACTTTTTAATACACACCTTTTATTCAAGCATTTTTGAGCCCACATAACTTCTTAAATTGACATGAAAACGCACAGATCCATTTTAGACCCACTGACAAAAGACACATTTAATGTCTGTGATATAGAGTAATAGAAACAAATGTCAGTTAACCTCTGAAAGTTCACTTGAAATGCACTTTAGTCAGGTGGATCATCAGAAATCAGAACATGCAGGCTACCGGTTTCTGTTACTGTGTGTCACAGATAATAAACTGGAGCAGTTTTAGTGTTAAAACTATCTACCCCATGTTAACAATGCTCAAAGTTGGTTATAGAAAAAAAATCAAACCAAACAAAAATCAGATTTTGCTTTAGACGTTGAGCTGCTGTAAAATGGATATGGTTGCAGTTTTTGTGTGTTTTACAGCTCATGTGAACATCTCTTGCACTTAGGACATAATGATACAGTATCTATCTATCTATCTATCTATCTATCTATCTATCTATCTATCTATCTATCTATCTATCTATCTATCTATCTATCTATCTATCTAT